TCCTGATGTCGTCCCCTGGTCCTAGCAGGTGGTTTCCCCGCCGCACACTGGCTCCCGTGGTACGAGCTGTCCCCCTTTTCTCCCAGGCAGACGGCATAAGAGGTCCGCTGGGTCACTCGGTCGGGGTCGGAGAGCCTGGGGTTGAGCCCCTTTGTCCTCGTGCTTCTCGGGTCCCCCTTTTGGCGCCAGTGACCTGTGTGGAGAAATCTGATACAACTCCCTCAAGCCTACGCTCAGCTGTTTTGACCCACTTGGAGCCTGTTGGTGGGGTGTCTTGAAACAACAGCCGTCTGTGAACAGGTTTTCCAAATTAATTGTAGCCCTCCTATCTGCCAGTGCGGCTTCAGAATCTTAATACTTGGATTGTGCCAACTAAATAAGAACCTCAACATCTTTAGGTAAACTAAATAACATATTTCAATAGCTCTGAATTTCTGACAAGCATCTGTGTTTATTTTTAAATGAAATCCTATTTAAAATCCAAATATAATATGAACTGCTAATGTTTCTGGTAAAGAAACACACTAATGTTATGGATTCAAAAACAACCAAAATCACGATGCTAACAAAGTGAATGATTTCCTGGTGATACTGTTTCTACCTGTCAGTGCTTAGATATTATCACGCTGAAAAAATGAATACAGAATTCCAACAAACTGTCATCAAATGTCTTTCTATTATAAATTTAGATGAAATGTATATCCCCATAATGACCTAAACAATAAAGTCTATGGCTTTTACTTCTTTACCAGGCTAGTTACATGATGTTGTCTAAATTAAATTCTGTCTCAATACACTACTATGTTTTAGCTTTAACTGTAATATGTTCTTTCTACATTTCAAACCTCAGTTGCTCTAATGTCTGTTAAAATATTACAAAATTGTTTCATTATCACAGGTCAACTTCTTCGGTTTCACAGTAGCCCCTTGGCCACTGCTTCTTTGTTACCTGTTATAATTCAAATCAATATTTAGAAACATCTCAACATTCATCAAACAGTATCTTATCCCCAGATATGGAGCAGGTTAATTACATTCAATGCTCAATCCTTAAAAAATGTAAATTGTGAATTTTACAGCCATGTTGACATTTATACATTATACTTACTCACTCCCCCTTTTTACACATGAAATCATGTGTAACAAAAGCCTGTAATGGGAGGGGAACAAAAACTGTCAGGTAATTGGTTAGGGACATAACGAACATTATTATCATTATTTCCACAGTGAACACTTCAGTGAAAAGAAGTGTTCCTCTCCGTCCTTCAGGCCTAAAAGAAACAGAATCTTCAGCTTTTACATTTGCAAACCGCCAACTCATGTGAGAGGAAAATATCACATGTGCGGTTTCCCCTTTTTGTGGAATTTTTAGGAAACCTCTCGTTTCCCTTGGAGCTCCAAAATAATATGTTAGTCCAAAAACATGCTTGGTTAGTTATTGTTTTAGAATCATGCAGTTACACTGATCACATGCCGGCATACATTCACACTCACACTGTCTGGTTGTCATGTCAAGTTTGGTCAGGTTCACCCCAGAGTCAGTCATCCACAGTGCCTTGTCAAGTTACACTGTCGGTCAGGGTCAAAGGTCAGTTGGTCTCCGTCTTTTTTGGCCATGTGTCGTGCTCTGCAGAGACTTTGACATTTCAGCATAGGCCAGTATCCTTTGTCTACAAAAATATGTCACGATTTCAACTATAATTTTCAAGATGATTCTCACTTGTCATTGGGACTTCCGCCTCCCACTTTTCCTGAAACTTGGTACAAAACTCACTTCCTTCGAGTACCACTACTAATTAAAATGTCTAATGATCTATTTCAGAAACTTTTGTACAATAACTATTATCTTGAGTCAAAACATTACTAGGATCTGTGTCGCTCTGCATTTCATAGCTCATTATAATTCTGGTCTACTTAAAAAACAATGATAAACTCTTTAGCAGTGTGTGGAACCTTGGGTGTCCGAACATGCAACAATTACTCCCTCCTTTATCAAGGATTTAAAACCGAAGTCTGGTAATAACTATGCCACAATGGTGAAATCAACACTTTAGATTGGAATTTAATATGTGGCTTGGCACTAGCCATTAATACAAACAAAGATTTGTCCTATAGAGTGGTTCCTAAAACTATCCTTTTAATGGTGATCAATATTGTAACCAATGAGATCACTACTTTATTCACACGTGAATAAAAATGTCTTAAAGAATGATTTGTTAACATGATGAAAATATTGAAGAATATGGTTCTACTCTGTCAGTGTGTTTTAGGATGATTATCATTTTACTTTAATAGTTTCCTCTTTACTGCTATTTTTAATTTACCAAATGATTAATAAATCTTTCTGTCTTTATGAAGTTAATTCAAGTTATTTAAATGTGCGTTTCGTGAATAAGTGTGTTTATGTGTAACTCACTCATTCCCGTTCTCCTTTCCTCCTCCCCTGGTTTTCTCAAGCCGTGACCCCGGCCTCCTCACTTCTAATCGACCATGCCAACTCCTCTGATTCTGTCTTCTCTTCAGTCCATCAGCTGTTGAATCCATCCGCTGTAACTTTTGTAGGCAGCCATTGGCCCAGTCACATCTGCAGCCCCATCATGCCACTGTTGTTGCACTCCTCCTTTACAGTCTCTCTGCTGTTTTTATGGAGGGCGGATTCTGCTCTCATGTCCTGTCTGAGGGGCTGATGAGAGTATCTCTCTGTATGTCAGCATGCTGGTTTGGTTCTGGATGCCACAGGTGGAGATAGTTCTGGCTGCAGTCTTGATGTAGTCTTGTTGTTGTTGTTGGTTCAGCTCTGGTTCTCTGTCTGTACGATGGAGAAGGAGGAGTCTCCTGTTGGGTTAGGTCTCGTTGTCTGCTTGGAGGGTCGGGATCAAAGCCTTTCTAACTCAGAGGGGGAGTCCAGGCCCCGGTACACATTACCTATAAGAAGTCTAGCACACTGATGTTAAATAAATCCAACCCTTTCCACTCTGTCTCTTTCTAATCATACTATCTGTCTTAGTTGTTAAATGCCATCTAAACAACATAATTAATGTCTACTTATGATATTACAAAAACTAACTCCAAAAATTGTTTCATCCATTGTTACATATTTACCCAACACAGCTCTGAAATACTTACATGTTTCCAGCATCACATATTCCACACACTATGAAAGAACATCTCCATATCTTCTCTCATTTTAAATCCCACTGTTACTTCGAACAATAGTAAACCTGCAGAGCACACCAATCGGATCACAGTAATGAAATTTGAATCAAGTGTAGGCCTATGTCTTCTTTCTGAACATTTATTTATATTGTCTACATTTGCAAGTGTAAAATGTGTTTTGCACAATGTATTTACACTCTACAGATTCTTGAGTTTACTCATCTCCTGGTGCTGTCGTTGTAAAAAATGTTCAATCCCTTATTGTTTTGTACCAGTTTACCAAACAATACCGGCCAGCAATGTAATGATTAAACTCTAAGCTCGCATAAGTTTCAAGGGTGTGATACCCCCTTTCAGCCACTAGATGGCAGCAGCAGAAGTTTCAAGGGTGTGATACCCCCTTTCATCCACTAGATGGCAGCAGCAGAAGTTTCAAGGGTGTGATACCCCCTTTCAGCCACTAGATGGCAGCAGCAGAAGTTTCCAGACAAAGGGAAACGCTCTACCTTGGTTTAATATATAACAGACCTCTGGCTTTAAGCTTTTAGCATTGGTCTGTTATTTAAACCCCAGTTTTAAACGGCGACTCGATCTGATTTATCGAGTTTTCAGGTTTTGCCGTGCAGGATTCAAACCTCGCATTCACACAAACTGCACCATTTCTACGCCACTCAGGAATATTCACCTGCAGATCCGCGCCAAACTGCTCTATTTACGTCACGCAGGACTTCCGTCTACCTGTCGATCCACGTTTACGTTTTGTATATAACTTTCCTAACATAGTAAAATATGCATTGTATATTCCATTTAAACTATAAAAACACTGTGAAACGCCTACAGACAATCCTAAAGTTTTAGCGTATCCAATTACAGACAGGCGACTTTCATCGTCTGCTTACCTTATTTGCAAAGTTGCAGAGTCCTGCTGATTGTCTGAGATGTTTGAAAGCGTCTGAATTCTTCCTCAGCTTCGTCATAGACGTCGGGGTCACCATTTGTTGGAGATTTAAAGGGATAACTGGTCCGCTTTTCAAATCTCCGCGCGTTCCTATGAAGCTGGTTATAATACAGGAAGGAATCCATATCTACAAAGTAACCGTTAACAATAATCTACTTTAATGGCAATATGACAATGCAATACAATCATTACAATACAACATGATATATTACAGTTATATTGCAATGCTTAAGGAGTAATGCCGGCTTACTCCTGCTCTAGTCCGCATACTACAGAGCTACTTTCACCCGAGGGCAGCATGTGAAGAAGAGGCCGAACGCCAGGGAATCCACCGGATATATACCAGAGTAAGAAGGAGGGGTTTGGTGTTAGGTCAGCTGGTCATCTTTTCAGGTCATCTCATTGGGAGACGCAACGCAGCAGGAAACGCAGCAGGAAACCAAACAGGCTCACTTTACAACAAAAGGTCTCAAGGCCTGCATACCTACACCTCCCCCACAGAGCAATAAAACCCTGTTTACTCCAACCAGCCCAGAATGTTTATAGCCATTTGTAGTCCTTACATTTATTAAAGGATAAAACAGAGAAATCAATATAAAACACAAACACAGGTATTGTTTGAACAGTATTCACTTAACTGCTACTATTGATAAGCACCAGAGAAACCCAAGGGACCTCTCTTAACATCACAAACACTGCAGCTAGATCTAAGTTGAATGCAAATCAGGACATGCTCTCACCTTCCCCCATCTTCCTTTGTCCTCAAAAACACATGTCAACAGGCCCCAAATGCAGCTCACAGTTTTACCCAAATTATTCCCATTTTAAGCTTATCCATAGTTTGCTAACATGAATAAATACAAATATAACTCTACACTTTGGAGGAGGAATCACTCTCAAAATGTCCTCAAAAGGGTACAAAAGCACATCCTCTCTCAGTGGCCAGAAGAACCGGTTGACTCCGGCAACGTGCATGCACTTTACCTGCACATGTGTGTCCATGACCTCCTGAATGACTCCTGGGTAAATGTCTTCATCATATTTAAGGGCACACCACTGGCCAATTGAATCAGGACCCCACAGCCTTTCATTCTCTTTGCTGTTGCCTTTAGGTGCTTGAGGCAGCGAAGGGGTCGTTTGCTGAACCTCAAAACTAAAAGTATGAGTGTCATCACAGCGACACTCATAACTTTGTCTGGCGGTGCAAGGGCAACTTACATCTCAATACAAGATCTCTCCTGGTGCCCCTGTGACCACCTGGTGGATACGCATAGTTGAGGGCACTGCTGGCAGATGACTTGGCATCTTGTTAATTGCTTCATCCACAAGATTCTCTCTGATGTAGAACATCCTAACTGTTCCGCTGTTGACCAAAGCACTGTAGAGATGTTCTGCTGAAGGGATGTCATGACCTTGGCTAACAAGCCTGTCAGCCGTTTGCTTCAGGAGGCCTCCCACTCCATCTGGAGCACCCTTCCCATGGCTTGCTTCAAAAAAGTTCCATGTCCCCCTTTTGAAGCCACGGTTCATCAGCTCTGTGCTAAAGAGGAAGAAGTTTCCCTTCTGTCTGTATTGCGTGCATGGACCGTCACTGAAGAAATGCACCACCTCGACAGAAGGATACGAGGCCTTCACTTCATCCAGGATGGGGGACAAATGTGCCCAAATGGCAGGTGGGCCTTTCTCCTTTGATGCCGAAATTGTGCCAAAGCACATGTGCTCTGCTGTCCCACCAACATGAAGAATTCCTGTGTGGAGCGTTGCTTGCTTCTGGTTTGGGGCAAAGTGCATTGCCTGGATTTCTGCTGCAAGCTTACATGAGTAGTTCTCTGAAAAATCCACATGAATCAAGCATTCTTGGTTGGTCATGCTTTTTCTTAATTCACGGTAGTGGGTGAACTGGCTTTTAATGTTAAATATATGCCGTTTGAAATGTCTCAATTGGCCTTGAAACATCTCCAGCAGATCCGCCAACACTATGTCCTTTTTCTTCTTCACAGTGATTTTCATGGGGACCTTGTCCTTTTTACCATCTTTGTTTTTCTTTTCTCTGATGACTGTTTCAGTTGACCACTGAGTGAGTTCGACATTTGCCTGAAGGTTAACTTCTGCTGCTATGGCAAACTCCTGTCCTTTGCAGTGGGGACACTCGTTGTACATGCAGTCCTTTGAATTTGGATTGCAGCTTATTGATGATGTCAGGTCTTCCATGTCCACGCTCCTAATTAACTTGAGAGTGTGAAGCTTTTCAGCCAGAAAGGAAAGATTCTCATGAACCTTGCAAAGACAGGTTTGTCTGTCTGCAAGTGTTGGGTTAACTACCCAGAAGGGACGCATACGACAGAACAAGGAGTAAGAGAGATTGTAATTAGGATGTTCAGTGAGAAATTTCCTGTGGAGGTTTCTCAGGGTATCATTTAAAAACCTCTTCTGTTTCTTTATCTTCCGCCTGGTGATTGTTTGTACTTTGCCTGCTGTCAATCGGCTGCTTTCATCCCTCGTCAGGTAAGCAATGACGCTGTCTTGAATTCGGAAGCATAGGCTTCTGTACTTTATATTGCCTTGAGCAGGATTCTTCTTCCTCTTTCTGGAGATGTGAAGTGCTGTACGAACTTCTTTTTGTAATCCATACTTTTTAAGGATCCTCCCAGTTAGAATTTGTGACATTGCCTGCCTGTGTGTTCTCCTTTTGGTGGTGGCAAAGGCGTCCTTGATGTTGGCCATGAGGGCATGATGAACAAGCAATGATCTCCGCACTTCGCCAGAAACAGGGACATTGTGTAGCAGTCGCCTTGTTTTTGATGCCGGGGACTCTGAGACCGCACAGCGTCTTTTGAGTCTTTTGCGTAGTTTGTCTGTTTTTTTTGTTTGTTTCCCGAGCAAATGTTTCAGTTTTTGTATTTCTCTGTGTCATTTTGAGTGTTCTCTCCTGGCCTTTTTTCTTCCAGCTTTTTTCTGTCTGAAATTAACAAAATAAATTACGTTACAGATAATGTGCTGTGTATACTGCATATTAATGGAAACCTTCTACTTTGTTACACAATTTTCCTGTTGAAAACATAAACCTGTTTCTACCTTGTTCAGATCAAGGGGCGTTGGTGAACTCCAGTTCGAATCCCGCCTCGGCCGCCACTGCGTCAGGCCGTTGTGTCCTTGGGCAAGACACTTCACCCGCATTTGCTCCTGTGGGTAATGTCCGCAGTAATGACTCTTACATGTCTAATATGTGTAATGTGTAATTGTAAAGCGCTTTGAGCACCTGTAAAAGCGCTCTAATAAAAAATGTAATGCATTATTATTATTATTATTGTTTCCTGAGGTTGATGGACAACTTCTACTTGGCTGTCTGGACTGTCTGGTGGTGTAGCTAAGTTGTCAAACCTGTGCTGTCTTTCTCTGCTTCTCTGCTTTGCCTTCCTCCAATATGCCCTCTTGCTTCTTTTATCTCTGTCACTCATCTCTGCCACTGTTTTCACCTTTCCTTCTGATCTGAACCTGTGCCATGCCTCTCTCTGCTTCTCTAAATATGCTGCCCTTCTTGCAGGATCAGCATCTCGAGGAGCCCTGTATCTCCGCTGTTTCTCAGCTGCTGACATCTATTTTAAATATTGGATAAAAAAGTGTGTTGTGACATATGTAGAATGATAATGCTGTGTAATGACGTCTACATGTCATACAAATTGTCAACTAGGTTACCTGTCAACTAAGTTACCCAGTAACTCAGTTGACAGTAACTCAGTTGACAGGTGACCTAGTTGACAATTTCCCTATTTTGACTCATCATTTCAATGGTAGGCCTTGCCTGGATGACCACATGTCATTTTCTTGAACAGCTTAACATCACATTTGAACATATCATTGAATTAAAATCATTAAACAACTTTAAACCATAACAATGTACGTAACATTGTTGATCGTCAATTAATATACTCATTGACAATGTGCTATTATACATAGAATATTGTGAAAAATTAGAGGACACTCACCACAGTGTGTTCAAAATGTCAGCCAAAGAGGAACATGGCATCATGTGATGCTGGTGACATGGTATTGGGACAAACCATGTTTGAGTTAAAGGGGGGAGTTCTGTTTGTAACATAGTTGACAGAACTTTTGCGGACATTCATATATTAAGATATTTAAATTATTTAAAGGAGGAAATCAATTAAAAAAATATGATTAATCTTTAGTATGTAGACTTTTGAAATAAATGAATAATAGTTTTTATTTACTTTAATGGTTTTTATTCATTATTTTGAAACCAAGACACCCTCAACTGAAAAACGGACAGATCAAAAACTGTCAATTTAAGAACATCATGACACATTTCAAGCTAAACTAAGTATAGGATGCACATAATGTTTGTGTGATATTATAACATGCTTTCCAATAATAGGCAAAATATGATATTTTTGAAGAAAATAGAAAGAATAATTATAATTATCATCAATTGACATCAATGGACATGGAATGTACCCTAAATTGTAGAATCACTCGTATGCATGCACGGTGTGGCGTGACCACCAGAAAGATATGGACACAAGATGTGTGCAAATGTATTTCGTTTCCTATCCATGTTAACATGATTTAAGTGGGGGGGGGGGGGGCATAACCCTCTCTAGGGGGGTCCGGGGGCCATGCTCCCACGGGAAGATTTTTTTTTAAATATTGAAGTTAAAAGCATTTATCTGGTGCACTTTGAGAGCAACATGAAGAGATCTATGGATACCTCTCTCAACACCCATATGAAACAGAACTGGAAGCAGATTTATTTTTCTTTATGAATATTTTACAAATCACTCTCCTTTTAAACTGTATTCTTGTTTATTAATAACAACTTTTTTTTTTACTGTCATATAGTATTTTGTACCTGTTTACTTTATTCTCTTATTTTTTTATAACTATAATGATCATATAAAGATGTGCCTTTACCTCACTGGTTGTAGAAAAAGCTTCTTATATTCGTTAGCATAGCTAGCTAACCAGATGCTAATAACAACAAAGTTATTGACTGTATGATCAGTATGACGGATTAACAGATCGCCACTGGGCTTTCAACTAAAACACAGACACGCAGAAACTGCGGCATGTGTACGGCTCCTTATCGGTTCTGCAATTTCTGAAGTGCTGGAGTGGCGTTCTTGTCACGATCTGTCTTTGTGGTGTTTTGTCTTGTCTAGATCTGTTTTTGGTTTTCTGTCTGCTTTGTGTTTTGTCTTGTTTGGATCTGTCTGTGGTTCCCTGTCGTTAGTTTCCCTGGTGTGTCTGATTAGCCGATTGTGTTCACCTGTGGCCCCTGTGTTTTCTCCTCCCTCCTCACCTGTGTCTTGTTTGTATGATTAGTCTTGTGTGTATTTAAGTTCTGGTTTTTATGTCTGTCTTTGTCGGTTCGTCTTTCGTTGTTGACTGTGTTCACCGGTGAGTGTTCTGTCACGGTAGAGCGAAGGAAGCAGGACCCAAATGCAGATTAAACTGATATACCTTTATTTCAAGGATAAAGAAAATATAATTTGGACAGACAGAACACTCACCGGTGAACACAGTCAACAACGAAAGACGAACCGACAAAGACAGACATAAAAAACCAGAACTTAAATACACACAAGACTAATCATACAAACAAGACACAGGTGAGGAGGGAGGAGAAAACACAGGGGCCACAGGTGAACACAATCGGGTAATCAGACACACCAGGGAAACTAATGACAGGTAACCACAGACAGATCCAAACAAGACAAAACACAACGCAGACAGAAAACCAAAAACAGATCTAGACAAGACAAAACACCACAAAGACAGATCGTGACAGTTCTGGTGCTCTCCATCAGAACTGCCCCTGTCAGTCGAGACATATACCACGTGATGACACGTTAAACTCGTGTTGTGTTCAAGGATCCTGACCTTGGCCAGGAAAAACAGGTTTTTGCGGTCTAGATTTCTTACATTTTTTTCTTTTTTGCGTGTGTTTATAAATTACCTCGAGGGCCGTACCAAATTGTCTCGCGGGCCGTATATGGCCCGGAGGCCGGAGGTTCCCCACCCCTGCTCTAGCACGTTGACCTGGCGCGCACCCTCCTGGGCAGACCGCTGACCCTGAACGGTCCTGCCAGTCTGCCCAAGGGCCGGAGGAACTGAATATAAGGCACCATCTTGCCCGGCCCCCGTGGAAGTAGGCATCCCTCAAGTCCACGGTTGAGAACCACTCCACCTGTGCATGTGCAGTGGTCAGCATATAGAATGGCAGCACCTTCAGGAATCTATTGATTCCTCTGAGGTCCAAGATCGGGCGAAATCCGCCGACTTTCTTGCTCACGAGAAAGTACGCCAAGTAGAACCCCCTGGGCTAAGCAGAGGGTCTTACTGGCTCGATTGCGTCCTTCGACAGAAGGACGGACAACTCTTGGGCCAGAGCTAGGGCCCCTGCCAGATCGCTGACGACTGTCAATTAGACGCAGCCGAAGGCTAGGGGCCGGAGCTGCGGTCCGTACCCCTGGGTTAAGGTGAAAACCACCCAAGGGCCGGAAGTACAGACCGCCCAGTAACTGAGCCGCTGCTGGGAAAGCAGCCGACGACCGCCCCCCTGGAGCCCCTTGGGGGACGCCGGTACGGCTCTGGGGCACGAGGCCGCCTTGAAGGCGGGCGACCTGGGGCACGAAAGTCATTGGGAGGCGGTTGAGTGGGCCGCTAAGTCCTCTGCAGACCACCCCTGTAATCCGGCGGCTGAGTGCGGCTGCTAGAGCGGACCCTGGGCCTGCTGGGAGTGGGCACAGGTCTGCGAAGACCCGAGAGCTGCTGCCTGGTCTGCCTAGCTTGGGCAGCACACTCCAGTGCCTCCAGGGCAGCTGACCCAAACAGCTCCCCTGGCTCGACTGGTACGCTACGGAGGACTCTCCTATATGCCTCCGTTAGTGGTGACTGGGCCAGCCAAACCTGGCGACGAGTCTGTACCAGCGACAAGGCATCCTCCTACAGAGGTGCGTCAACCGAAGGAGGTGCGTCAGCCGAAGGAGGTGTGCCAACCGAAGGAGGGGCATCAACCGAAGGGGGGGAGGGGGGGAGGGGTGCAGGCGGCCCGCTAGCAGCCCCTACACCGGGCCCAGCTGAAGGGCCAGGAGGCGACTTCATCATGCCCCTATCGGCAAAACAAGGCAGTTCCGCGTCTACCAGGAGCGGGGGCGAGAACACTGCCTTCACTGGTTGAGTTAGAGACGAATGCCAGATGCAGCGTAACCGGGAGCGGGTGCGGGAACACAGCCTTCACCAGCTACCTGCTTAACGGAAAAACAAGTTAGTTCCGCGTCTACCAGGAGCGGGGGCGAAAACACTGCCTTCACTGGTTGAGTTAGAGACGAACGCCAGATGCAGCGTAACCGGGAGCGGGAAAACAGCCTTCACCGGCTACCTGCTTAACGGAAAAACGAGGCAGTTCATCGTCTACCAGGAGCGGGAGCGAGAACACTGCCTTCACTGGTTGAGTTAGAGACGAATGCCAGATGCAGCGTAACCGGGAGCGGGTGCGGGAACACAGCCTTTACCAGCTACCTGCTGAACGGGAAGAGTAGAGCGGTGCTGCTACTCGCCGAACAGAAAAAGGGATGTAGCTACATCCGCATTACCGGCAGAGGGAGCGGGAGCGAGAGCACTGCCTTCACCTAGCTGGGTAAAATAAAGAAGCTTAACAGTACACGCAAGACGTTAGCCGAGCGGCTGCTGCTAACGACCAAGCGAGATCAAGTCAAATAACACACATGTTTAAGACCAGATAACTAGCTTCTAAAGAAGAGAACAGCACAGAGCCGTAGTTACAGCAGTAACCATGGCCAGTCCTCACACAGCATAACCGTAGTTACAGTAGTAACTATGGCCAGTACTTACACGGCTTAGAACCGTAGTTACAGTCGTAACTATGGCCAGAACTTACACAGCATAGAGCCGTAGTTACAGTAGTAACTCTGGCCAGGACTTGCACGGCTTGGAACCGTAGTTACAGTAGTAACTATGGCCAGTACTTACATGGCTTAGAACCGTAGTTACAGTAGTAACTATGGCCAGTACTTACACAGCATAGAGCCGTAGTTACGGTATTGACTATGGCCAGTACTTGCACGGCTTGGAACCGT